GTGACAAGATGCAAAGCAGCAATGTTTTTTTTTTCCTTCCCCCCCCCCTCTCTTCTCTTTTTGCCGTTGCGCAATCCACCAGAAAGCCCTCCAGAATCGCCTAAAATAACCATTGTGTAGAAAATACGGGAGTAAAGCTCCGTCAGCAGTGATTGCCTTCTCACCAATGATGGCCTCCACTTCCTTGCAGAGTAAAGAAAAACTATACAACGCTGCGACGCAAAGCGGCCTCAGTGTCTCTTGATGCAAACTTCCTCTTCACAGGCATCGGACATCCATGTGCATCCACCACCACCCCCCGTCCATTCCGACGCACGTAGTCGCCCGGAAGGCGATACCTCGGATCGACGCAGCCGTCAATGATGGCCTCTTGAGCTGTCGGGCCAATTCCGTGGCGCAGCGCATGCTGCCGATCCCACTCGCGTCCTTTAGGTGCCACGCGAATCAACTCGTCGCGGAGCACCTCTTCTTCCGTGGGAAGTTCCCCAGCCACCGGCTGCACCAAAATAATGGTCGTCTCCGCGCCCTCGGTATTCCCAACGCATTGGTTTGCCTTCACTTTGAGCTCCTCAACGATGACTTTCTCGTCGGCAGCGCGCACAAACCGGCGGCAAATGGGGGAATACAAGTGGCCGGAGTCAAAAACACCTCTAACACCTTCTTCGAGAGCACACCGTGAATCTCTAGCCGCAACTAGGGCGTCTTGCAATCGGCGTCGGCCCTTTACTCTTCTCCTCCCTCGCTCAATACCGGCTGGAGTGAACCAGCTGTAGTTGTAGCTCTCCTCTGCGGGATCGCCCTGCATCGAGGATGGCTCGCCTCCGGTGACCAGCCTGTAGTACGCAAAGAGTTTTGGGCGTGTAAGGGTGTGACGCGGCGGAAGGGAAATGCGCTGCGACGGTGCGGCGGCAGCGCCAGACGTCGCAGGCTCATACTCTACAATGGCGCCGTTGTCACTGGCCGATAAGAGACGCTGTCGTCGTCGCTTGGCGGCCGCCCTTCGCCGCGCGGCGACGCGTCGCAGATCCACAGTAGCATCCATCAGAGCAAGCACAAAAAATAGTGCCCACCTTCAGTTTCCTCTCAAGGCAGCAGAGGCAACAAAAGAAATAGCGTTAGGCGGAGTAGCTGTATTCGCAGCAGCAGCGCTCCTGCTACGGTCCGAAGTGCAAAACACACACACACACACACATAAAAGCAAGGAAGAAGGGCATTCCATTAAATCGCACTGTGTTTTTTTTTTTACATTTCCGCATTTCCTTTTCGTCCTCCCTCGAAATGCTGCTTCTCTACTGGGTACAGTTGATAATGATACACTGGAAAGCAAGCGAGGAGTGTTTCCCGCAGCACATTTCGGCTCAACACGGGATGGGCCTAGCTTCGGTGGTAGTAGTGATTATGAACAACAACAACACCGGCCCCACCACGCCCCTCTCCCTCGTCCTTCGCCAGATGAGTTCGCGTCGACCTGACAGGCGGGAGCGGTGGATCCACGGGCGACTGGCACAAGGCACAGTGGGGAAGGCCACATGAGACACCAGGCACGCCGACGGTGTACAGCATTTCCTCCTGTGAGACTGAGAAAGGCATCCTCGGCTCTACGCCGGCGTGCAATACAGAGGCATACGTGGGCAGCGACGCCCGTGTAGCCTTCTCTTGTGTTACTCCTTCTGAATGTAGAGGGGGGGAACCCACCGCTTTATCCGCCGCTGCTGCAGCCGCAGCTCTAGGCGCTGCAGAGGAGGGTGCATGAGACTTCTTCACCGCCTGGGGCTCCTCTAACGTCGTGGAGGTTGGCCACAGGCACGCCGCGCTCGGCACTCCAACCCGGGGCGGTTGTGGTTGCCAGCGAAGCCCGAGGGCGCTTCCCCCCGTCGGGCCTTCTTCCCTCTCCCCTCGCTGGGGCGGCCTGGGAGGAGCACCCATGAGGGCGCCGCAGAGAAAACAATAGGTGCTGGCCTCCTCCTCCCCCCCGCCGCCTTCCCGTTCGTGGGTAACTGGACAGTCAGCCGGCGAATACTCCACCAACGCCCCCTGGCGCAGCCTAAGCCCACATTGCGGACAGTAAACAAAACCATTCCCCATCATGTATTGGTGTTTGTCAGCCGAGCAAGTGGAAGGGCATGCCACATGTCCGTAGCTAACGTGTGATGGCGGCATAAATGAAAGCTCCGGCACATCGGGAGACACAATCGCTGGCGCGTGAAAAAGAGGTGAAATATCTGCGGCCGATACCGCAGGCACAGCCAGTTCCTCCGCCGCCGGTGATGCTTCTTCCGCACGCAAGGCGGCTTCCATAGACGCAGGTCGCGGGGCTCGCGACGAAGCAGATGACGACAGTGGGGGCACTACAACTGTCGTAGGCAAGTGACGGCCAAGATCGGCGGTTAACCCAGAGAATACCCTACTGGCACTGCCTCGCCTGTTGGTTGATAGCGAGCCAACGTTATCCCCTATGGTTTTCTCATTTTCTCCCCGCAAATAACCCCACCGTGTGACTTGCGGCAGAACACTTGTCCCAGACGACTTCTTCTTGCCTGGGGGAAACTTGCGTCGCGGCCCTAGCAAGGGTGCGGCATGGCGTTGTAACCCACTAGCAGTCCTCTCCTTTTCCTCCGCCGCAGTGCCCTCGCAGCTGTCGTCAAACGGCACACTGTGAAGTACGTATGCCTTTGTGCCAAGGACAGTGGTGTAGGCCTGAAAAAGTCGCTCCTTCCCTGGAGGCATAGTTGCTCGTATTCTTACGTTCCCCCCTCTGCCTCTTCGCCGCCCGGCCTGTTGCTGTCCCCTGGCAGGCGCGAAAAGACGCAGGCCTCGCTCCCACCGCCCACGCCTCCGCGTACCTCTTGTCTCGACTGAGTGCGCATTTGTGGGCAGGCAGCCACCCCGAAGAAAAAAAGGACCAACAGAAAAAATATGTATATATATATAAAGAGGCAAACGAAAGGTTTTTGCTTTATTTCCTCCTTTCGCGTTGTCGTCTGCATTGCAGCTTCCCGCCGCCGAATGGCACAATTCACCCCACAGACCCACGTAAGCCATTTCCGCAGGTGGCGTCGTCCTCCCGGGCCCCCGCGGAGAGTCAGGGAAAAAACACACTCGCCCACACAGAGACACAGAGACAGAGAGACAGAAACACAGCGAGAGAACGTGGAACACCCATGGCGCAGGTGTAGATAAGAAGCGATGCAGAGTCAAAAAAAAAAGCCTTACAAAGGACAGGAAGCCTCCTTCGTCGTAGCCGGACCACTCTTGCTGCCCCTAGCCGCGCCGTTTCGGCTGCAAGGGCCCGCAGCAGCGTCACGCCCCTGCAGAAAGGGCCACACAGATCCAGTGAGAACCCTCGTGTTGGCCGTCGTCATGCGAACATGTTCGCTTTCGAGGACTAGCCTCGTCGTAGCCCGGAGAGCCGCAGCATTCACGACGACTTGACGAAGCAAACACGAAGACCCTCCACCACAGCCACAACTGTTCCACGCAAGCGGAGAGGCTGCGGGGGTCCGTTTGACACCTTTCAGCGTCCAATAGTCTATGTCGACAAGGAGCAGGGCCACCGTATCAATGTGGGCGATGATGCATCGCTCCAGCGCCTTGGACTCACAGACATCCAAAAGAATCAGTTCATCCAGCGACTCGTGGTGGGGCTCAAGGAGCGCCTGAAATTGGGCGATGCGACCACGGGTGAGGGGACGCAGCAGCAGATAACCCATGCCGTGCGATGGCATATCCAGAACGACAAACAAGTCATCCACTGGGTCTCGAAACCCACTCAGTGAGGGCTGGCGGCACCAAACAATGTCACTGACACCCATACCGTGACGGTAGTCCCCCTTATAACACTGCCAACGGCCCACAGGAACCCGTGTATCGAGCACAGTTGCATCGGCATAGGGCACAAGGTGCCCATCGCACACAACTTGCCGCTCAAGACGGGCGTCATACTCTTCACCGTAGGTCCACGCCAGCAGTTGCTGACCTTCCTCTATATCAGTTGTTGCAATGAAGAATGGAATGGTAACAAAGTGGCTGTGTTCTTCCAAAAATATGCGACGCCCAACGAGAGGGCGGTAACGCCGCTTCTTTGCACTCATCACCTCGTCAGCCCGTTTTCCGTTCAAAATTGAAGTTGACTTGTTTGGAACGCGTCTCAGCTCGTTTCTCGACTTCGTCCGTCGCTTCCGTGAGGCAAGGTTGCGCCGCCGCTCAAGCTCCGCCGCCAATGCAGAAAACTCGCTAGTCACCGAAAGGATCACAGAGCAAAGCTCCACATTCCCAAACCTGCTAATGTTATAGCGATGATTGGCGTATCGCATAAGACCTTGGCCAAAACAAATTCCGTGCCGTCCCATTCCAAGCGCGTAGGTTGCGTCATGAATTGGTATGCCACTCCACAGCTCATCCTCGGCGTCAAGGCTGTTGTTACTGGCATTATTGACAGTCCCATTGTCACAGCTGGCGCTCGTTGTGGGGTTACTGGCCGCAACGGAGGAAGCGGAGACGACAGCCATAGCGTCAGTGGAATTAGTAGAATTACTAGCGGTGTTAGGGGCATTGGTGGCAGTCGCGGCGTCGGTGCTGTTTTTCACTGCGGCACCCACCCGCCCCTCCTCCACGACCTTGGTGGCAACGGCGGGGCCGCAGTACAGGAAGCACGTGGCGTACGGCACAGGGTGTGCGGCGAAGAGGCCCTTCTGGCCCTCCCCTATTTCTCTTGCCTCCGCGAGGTCGAGTAGTGTAAATGGGAAGCCCGCCACCGGATCCGCCCCCGCGTGGCGTGCCCCCACGCCATGGAAAAAGGCCAAACCCTCCGGCCACATGTCAAACCGCTTTTGCCCCCGGGTCACGCTGGATGCCCCCGCACTCCCTTCATTGCGGCGAGGTCCAAAGAGTTGCTCGTACCACATCGCCTCGTCCAGGCAACGGTGGTAGGAGCGAAGACAGAGACGCACAGCCTCACCCTCCTCGATAGGAGTGGTGGCCACCACCGCTATTAGCGTCGCCGCTGGGAACTTTCGATCCTCTAGCTCCTGCTCTGCCTTCACGCCAAGCAAAGTTTTCGTGCTGGCATCGGGGCCACACGCGCCGGACGTTGCGGTCAGCGAGGGTAGGCCATAGTGGAGAGCGATACAGCGAGCATTGGGCCACTGCCGTGGGTCATCGAAGTGATCATTCCCCTCGTCGCACCACCGCAGCCTCGCCTTCGGCACAAGCTTGACAAAAACAGCGTCTCCCTCCACCGCAAGCACAGAATGCCGGAGAAAACGTCGCATGGCGTGAACCATGTCGCCGCTTCGCGGTTGACTCTTCTTCTGCAATCCAAGACCAATCATACACATCTGTGCCGCCTGGCGAATGCATTTGGCCCGCTGCTCCACCCCATAGCCAAAATACGCCTGAAGAAAATAATCGTAGCGTTGCTGATGAAACGCAAGAAGCGACATCGACCAGCCAGGATCCTTTGTTGGGAGTTTTTCCAGCGGGGCCGGAGTCCCGTGGGCACCATCATTAACTCTGTCACTCTCGTGCTCGTCTTTAGTGTGACTGTCGTTGGTTGTCTCCGTCACGGGCGACGCATCGGCCGCCCCCGCCGCGAAAGGCCGCAGGGAGAAGAACGGCTCTGCAACGTCGGGCTTCTCTTCGTGCTTGAGAATTGGACATGCCTCGACTCGCATTCCTTCCCCATCCAACCCTTCGCTCGACACCTTTTTTGTTTGTTTTTGTTGGTTGTCACGGCAAACGTGTGAAGTAACAAAAAAAAAAGGCACGCACACGTCGGGCGGCAGAAGCACCAGTTAACCACCCAAGCAAAAAAAAAAATGGATGGGAGGCAACAGGCAGAGAGGGAGGGAAACTGAAGTGAGAACAGATAAGGAATTAAGGAAATATAGCAGAACATATTCCATCACGCGCTCTATGTAACAAGCGGCAGCACGCCGCCTTATGTGGCCCAACTTCACCCGCACTCTGCCGACGACCACGTAAAGTTGGGGTTGGAGGAGGAACCCAAAGACGAAACAAAACCAATAAGATGAAAAAGAGGGGCAAACAGAGGAGGGAGTAGGGGCGGAGTGAAGGAGAGTGAGAGGCAGTGGATAACCTGCACGACCCTTCCTACTCCTCATCGAGGAACTGCGACGTCCTGACGTTGATGGTGGCGTCCTTGGCCGTCGGAAGACGATTGAGGCCGCGGCCGGCACGTGTAGCGCGGTCCAAGTTGACATCGGCGCCGTCGGATTGTAGTTGCTCGAGCTCCCGCTTCACTCGGTAGTGTCTCACGTCAGCCTTGCCGTATCGCGCCGGGTCCAGCCCCTTCTCCTGGAAGAGGGGCAACAAGTACTGCTGCAGGTACGTCTCTGACGACTCCCCATCCTCTTGCTTCCGCACGCGGTAGCTCAGGCGGCGCAGGCAGTCCACCATTTCGTGGCAACGCCGCGCCACATCACTGGCGCCCTCCTCTAGTCGCTGCCGCTTCGCTGCCGGCGCACCCCCGTCGTCGCCACCCGCTTCGTCCGCCACCGCGCTGTCAGACTCCTCATCCTCCTCAGCCTCGTCTTCATCTTCGTCTTCCTCCTCACCATCGCCGCTCTCATCATCGTCGTCATCGCTCTCATCGTCGTCGTCATCGCTCTCATCGTCGTCGTCATCGCTCTCATCGTCTCCCCCCTCGCCACCTTCGTTATTATTTTTCTTGGAGTTGCCATTCTCGCCGGAGTCCCTCTTCCCGGTGCTCTCTGCGCTGTAGAATGAGTCAATGAGGCCGGCAAGCAGCCCGGTGCGATCTGCGAGGTACTCCGCCGGGAAGGTATCCACGTACTTCGCCTTGAGCAGCTGCATCACAACCTCCACCGTCAGCCGCTTCTCCTTTGGCACGCGCTCAAACATCGTCTTGATGAGAGCGGTCAGTTTGACGTCCCTCGCATCGTTGCTGGACGCAGCCATCTCTTTAATTCTCTCCTCCTTTCACACCACACCACACACCTCTCTCTGGGTGTGTGCGCACGAATGTGTCTAGCGGCGCGGATCTTCGCGGCGCGAATGCCCCCTCAAAAGCAGAGGC